AACAGCCACAATGTAGTACAACTAAACCCTGATGAAAATAAATATTATCTTCTCACTCCATATCCCACATTAATGCAATCACTCAAAAAATTTTCACCAGAAAGCATTCGCGCTATTGCTCGAAACCCAAATATAGACTTACAATCAATAGGAATCTATTCAAAATCAGATATTCAACATCACATTAGGACACAACAATTCCAAGAATTATTAACACAAATGGACACTATACAAAGACAATCAATAGACCAAAATTTACGCAAACTTGCGGAAACCGCAGGATTTGCCGATATCTACACGCAAGACTATAGCGGATATTTTAAAGACATTAAAGATTATATATATCTAAACGGTGAAAAATACCGTCCCCAAGATATATCACCAATTAACATTTTTAGCTTTGTTACACTCAAAAATGAGATCCTCGATTTTCTAGGATGGCCCTACTACATCTTAGAAAAATTGACTATTTTATACGCAATGTTTAACTTTATTGGATTTCTTTTCTCACTTTTAAAAGGAATCTACAACACATGTGCTATACACACACAAGTAAACAGACAAGCAAGCGTAGCACGCATACTCTTTGCAGGATTTTTTGGAATCTTTTCTACATCTATAAACAAAATTCTTTTAGACGCACAAATAAAAGAATATAACACAAAAATAGCAACACGACAAAATACATACGACGAAGAACATAACAATGTAGACATAACGCCAACGGCACCACAATTACCACCCCTACCAAATAACCATCCACTATCCCTAGTCCCACGAAATTTTCGAAATTTAGCCATCACACATAATCCAAATTTTCGACTCACCACATCACAAAGTCCCATCCAACATATAATGACACACCAGTCACAAGATCATAATACTTATGAACAAATTATTGAACAACCCCATACCACCGCTTTTCAGTCTCAAAATAATCATTTTTTTAGCCCACGATGAGCCGCCAACTTGGATCACTACACCGATCAAATTCCCACCCAACCAATCTTACCTCTCCAATCCCAATAATACCACTTTTTGCTTTTCCGCCACCCGATTTTCCATCTAGTAATGTAACATCAGGCATGAATTCCGACACTAATTCACACATCTCAGTTTTATATTCCATCTCACAACTCAATAACCCGAATATTGAAACCCCCGATGAATTTGCCGACTCAGAACCATCCCCATCCAATAATTTTCATAACTCTTCTAATTTTTCTCAACCCCCTTTTCAACCCATATTATCCAATAACCCTGACCCAATCACTTCCACACCCTCTTATGCTTCCCAAGTTACCCCAACCTACTCCTCATTTCATTCTGACCAATCATCTCATTCTCCAGACACCCCCCGAATCTCCCCAGAGCTAGATAATTTTATTACCCTTCAACAACAACCCTACCACCTCCATACTCCAACAATAAACCAAATCTCCTCCACAATAAATTCATCCAACCCCCCTACCCCTACACCCTCTTCAAATTATACTGAATCATTAGCACCATCATCCACATCAACTGAATCTTCACTCAACACTAATAGAGCTTACCGCACTTTTAAAAGAAAGTTCCCCAACCATCCTTTCCCAGCAAAACCAGGAACAGCCCGTGAATACATCAACCACCCCAAGCATACTAACACAAAAGAATTTTTAGCCATCACCTTACCCTCATTCCCACAATACACCTTAAACACCCCCCACGACACTAACGAAACACGCAACTTTGTAGATGAATACGTTTTAATGCCCACTCTCTCTTGGACCTCATATTATCATTTTACTAACCCTCTTTGCTTACCTTTATCTAACACTCACATCGATATAGAGCGAAATACGGACATGCTATATCGACTCACTACACCACTAACCGCTAGACAATTTACTTACGTTGGATATAAAAAATCACTAAAAACACACACTGCACCTAGAGCTAACGAATATACACTCGAATACTATGATCACAACATCATCAGAGCTAACCAAGATCAATTCTTAGACGACGATCGCTTCGCTAATCCACAAATTACCGAGAAATTTTTCATCAAGACACCATATATATTTACACTAAACATCTTCGACCGAAAGTTTGATCACATTATTTCAGAAGCACTAACAGACACACAAGCATACGAAAGTTTTAAAGAACGCTTCCAAATATTTTCACTAACCTTTCATTTCCTTGCACCACACGAAAGAGATTTACACTGCTCACACGATATTATGTTGCGCACTAAACAAACCCACACATATAGTTATTATCGCTTCATCCAAAATCACTTTGACCTACACACACCCTCTAGACAACCACACCATCGTTTTCAATTCATTAATTCCAAATACACTTCACCATTTTTCCTAAATTTCACATATTGCATTAAAGATACTAACCTTCATGGTATTCTTCGCAATTATGATCCCATAACCCAAATGTACATCTTCTGTCCCATCACCAAGACCTTCAACGCCGAAGAATCCCGACCCTTCCTTATCCCGCACGAGTTTGTACAACCTATAGAAATCCCAATTTTAGAATTCATCCACAACACTAAATTCAATCACAAATTATATAATCTAATCCAAAACACACCTTATGAGTTTGCAGTTGGCACTGAAGAACTAACCACTATTAAGGCACTTCAATTGCTTTGGCCACTGCTTCAGACTAAAAATATCATCCGCATCTTAGCTAAACTACTAACAAATTCCGATCTCATCCACGACATCTTCCCCCACGGTTTTTTCCCCGACGACTAACAGGTAAGTATGAATTAAATGAATATTACTAACTAATTAAAATATTAAAAAACTCACCATACTTTATCCATGTTTTCTTTAGATTTTTAGCCTTCATCCGACAATTACCTACAAAAACCACAAAAGACAAATAAAAATCGCAAATTTCATCAAACAGATTTCAAAAATTCTATTAATCTCTTACACTTATAAATTTATAAATTTAATACCAATGCAGTAAATTCATTTCTAAAATTTTCCCCACAAGCAGTAAATCTAATTATGATGAAAATTTGTAACTTAAAATCCCCTCATAACTAGCAGTAAATTTCCAAATTCTATGCAGTAAATTAACAAAATGCAAATGCAGTACTAACCTTTTGATATTCTCATTCATTCGCACAGAAATTCTATCCACACTCGCACAGCTCGCCCACGAAGAATTGTTTAAAATAATGAATTTCAGTTTCAAGTTTTCACACTCAACAACTCTAACATATAATAACATGTTTCAAACCTTCCTTTAACCCGGTTGGAAAGGAATCATATACTAAACAAAACTAACCAACGCAGCTTACTAAATACCACAAATCATAGAATAACAGCATGACTAAGAAAAGGAAACCAACGGTACCCAAACCGGATTAACCCAGGTTAAAACTGGATAATTTATTCTTTTGAAGACTATTATAAAGTCTAAGAAAGAAATAATAAAACACAAAAAAGTCGAAAGACAAACCCATACCACGAACAATTTGCTTTTTGGAAAAAGGACATAACCAACAAGACATAAGAAAAACCACAACAAACCCAACATAAAACGTTGTCACATAACAGGACCCCTCATAAAAACCGCATGAAATCATACTCCCACTCCTGGCCTAACCCACCAGGAAGGACGTCCTGAGCATGCTCTATAGCCGGCCTAACCCACCGCGCTACATCCACGCTTTGTGACCACACCTCTATTTTTAATAAGAGCTACTCAAGGGTGAGTAACTCTTCAAAATAACCGAACTAAAACAAAAAGCTTTTGTGAAAACAACTAACTAAAATCATAATTAAAAAATATTAAACTAATAAATGTTTTATAAAATGTAAATTACATTATGCAATACATAGATCAGAATATAACTCCAAGGACGAACATCTAAATACAAAACGACCCCACTACACTCGAGAGAGAATGGCCAACCACAATCGATATGCCACTCACAATCACAACTCAAAGGATTTAGAGTACGACTTGACTTCGCAGAAAAGGACTTCATTGAACTAGACCAATGACCACCTCGATGTTCAAGTATACGTACAGATCCGAGTAACCAGGCATCCCCTCCACGCACAATCTCCACGCCATTCCCAAACTAGATCAGACACAAAAGAAGTTCTCCACGCAGAACAGAAAAACCTGACATAGCCAACCATTCTGAAATCAGATTTGAGTTTGTTGCAAAGACTTAGTCGTTGTCACTAGAAGACACAACGTCTTATGTCTCTAACTCCAGCTTCCTGGAACTTCTTTAACAAAGAGGAAACGGAAGAAAATGATGTTCGCCAAAAACCAACGTCCATCATCCATCCTTCGAATCGCAGAAGAACTATTCTAAAAAACTCTGTAAAACCCGGATGGGTGGAACCTGATCTAAACTACATTTTATGATTGGATAAATTAGATATTTTACCAATGTAAAGTATTTAATATTAACCAATCATGATCCATCTAACTAACAACCCACTTATTTGTAAGTGCTGAAGTTACTTGTAATTTCAGCACCAGAGAGATTTGAATTTAACTTAGAAATTAGTTGGACTCTCCCGAGCACTTCAGCAGCCGCAATAAACCAGTATACCCTAGATCTATTGAGCCTAGCAGAGACTAGTTAAACAACCTGAGACTAGATAGTATAAGAGTAAGATTAGGATCGGTATTAGACTAAGAAGTTGCACGAATCTATCCGGCCGAAAATAAGATAGCGTGACGAGCAGACGGTGTACCCTATCCGAAATTACTCTATGAGTTATACACTCCAGTCCTAACTCACATGCGTCTTAAAGTATCTCTAAGGAAGTCATAACACGAAGCGCTTAAAAATTTTCTCAAATCTCTCATTTTTTCTGCAAGATTTGACTGAGGCGCAGGAAGTTTAGCAAAATAATGGAATGCTACGAGGAAAAAAAGCCGGGTTCATGCACTGCCAAGTTCGACCCACTAACTGATGATCTGATTGGTTAATAATTCTATTTTCCTCTGTTTAGAACAACGGTGAGTGGTTGATGAGCGTGGATGCAGGCGATGGTCACGTGATGACAGTGTGGGATTGGGACAAAGAGACCGTCATAGCAAAGACAAAGGTCAGTCCGCAGTTTCTATACAGAGATGTTTTGATACTTAAACTTAGTTTGAATTAAAAATTGAATTAGTTAAAAAAAGAGCAAATGGCCTGTTCCAGATAAATTTGGTGATGTAAAAGCTATTTTTTCAGACAGAAATTTATGCTTTAAAGTTATCTAAAAATCCAAGCTCATGTTTTAATTACTTCTTTCTATTCGATCGTTTCACAATTTTTTCTTTCTGGAGATGGAACAATGATGGCGAAAATTTTTCAAAGCGAAAATTCGTTAAATTAGATAAAGCGACTATGCTTTGTAAGTCAAAGAGTTTGAACAGAAACAAGGTTGTGAAAGCGCAAAATTACTCAGCCAGGGTAGACCAGCGGCGTCGGACTCAGTAGAAACAGTTGCTGAAGGGCTTAGTTCTGCCTCTCCGCTGAAATGTCGGCAGCTTGAGGCCAACCATCAACCGTGCTCGTTGCTCTCGCAGGCGCGGATGATAAATGCGGCGGGGGTAAAATTTCAGCCCAGGCAAATACCAAAAAATGGTTTTTAAACAATTCAAATCAGTTGCTCTATGTATTTAAGTCAATATCCTATTTTGTTTAATTCATGGCGCCTTCAGAAAAATTTTACGGTTGGTCGGCCGAAAATGACTGTTGTCAAAATAGGGTTTTTATGCTGTTCGGGAAATCATTTTGGGCGGCCTTGAAATCCAACCCTCCTCCCGCCCCCCATTTCAGAGAAACCCGAATCCGTGCCTGTTCAGAAAAGCTAGATCAGCCCCTGTTCAGAAAAGCCTAGATCCGCTCCTGACCATACCCTAAACTATTCTTACACGCTGATATTTGCAGACTACTGCTGACACAGTTGTGTGTGGGTCTTTCCACCCGAATGACGACAGGTGTGTTGTGAGTGGGGGCAAACAACACCTGTACTTCTGGAGACTCATCAACGGAAGAATCCTCAGAGACAAGAAGAGCGGACAGTTTAAGGTCACTACCTAATAAGAACACTGCACGTTTGTTCACATATAAACATAAAAGCAACAATGACAGTTGCATAACTTGTAAAACTAAAATCAGCAACAAAAAGACAAAAAAATTGCAAAGATGTAATCCGGAGTGACAAAAGTAGACGAAGAATTGGTTATATTGGAACTGACTTTTTACAGTAGAAATGTCATGTGGAGTTCAATGGATAATTATCAACTACAATTGAGTTTCATTGTCGATGTCTTTAAAAACGAAAAGCATTCGGTTATAATCAATTGAAAATGAAATATATTACTATCATTTATTGAAGCACTTAAATCTATAGTTAAGTTTTTAAAATCGATATTTTTTCACATCTATAAAAAACGACTATGAAACTCTATTATAATCAAGTTTTTTGTTCCAACTTTCGGAGGAAGTATCGGCATATTTGTGCTCAGGGTGGGTTTTTTTCTTGAGACAAATTTCGACTTTTTGATGGAATTTTTTATAGCAGCCGAAATGTATTGTTGTTTTGAGCTCAAAGTTATGTAAAACTTTGAGTCTTAATTATTTTACTAGAGATGATTTATTGTAAAATTATGCGGGTTTTGAAATTGAAAATTTGGAATGATTAGCGCGCTGTACATTTCGTGCTATTAACACGTAAGCGGACATTGAATCCGTTTTACAAATAGTTCCAAATTAAATCGAGGTATGCTTTTTGGTTTATTTAACATTTTGCTACACGCGAAAAATATCTTTTCGTATTTAACAAGCATGTGGGTGAAAATTATTTTCAAAAAAATCTGATAAATTTATTAATTTCAAAATTTTTCATTTGATATTCTTTTGAAAATTTTTTCGTATTTTTAACTGAAGAACAAAAATCCATTGATCTTAAAAGGTATTCGGAACATTTAGGGCTGCGTCTTGATACAAGCAGTTTTGTTTCTCTTTTATTCAGATGCGGGTAAGCGTGTAAAATTCCACGTACACAAATTCTTTGCACTTTTTAAACAGAAGTTAGTTACTTGCTGTTCAATTTCAACTTTCCTCAAAGCATTTTTTTCGATACTCATTTTGTGTTACTCTACTTTTTTTCCTTTCATTTTCCCCGATTTTCGAAAAAAAAAATGCTGGGGTGGTTTTTTGTAATAAAACTTTTTAAATCTTTTTTTGCCCATTGGAGTTATTGACTTCATGAGTTCAAATATCAATAGATTTTTACTTCCAGTTTTTTTTCGTAAAATTCTTTAAGTTTGAAAATTATCAATTTAGCCATGTTTTGAACTAAAATCTGCGCGCTCTGGAAAATTCATAAAAATTGCTGAGAGCGTAATGCGAATTATTTTATGCGTGGTGAATTATCTCGAACAATAAAATCGCTCAAAAAGAATTGAGGCAAGCTAATTGGTCGTATTAATTTCGTACGACTCAAATTTTCACACTTGATAATTATTAAGGTGTAGTTTTTCAAAATTTTCTTTGCCAAAAACCATTCGATAAGGGCTAAGCGGCAGTCAGAACGTTCAGGGCTTTGCCCTGATGTACGAGCAGTCTTTTTATTTTCTGTATTTATTTAGAAACGCCAGGGCAAGGTTTGAAAGTTTGAGAGGTACAATGCTTGTGTTTACGTATGTAAGTATATACTAATTTTGAGAGAAAACGCGTGTGGAAAAAACGCAAATTTTTGATGCATGAGGAAAGCTAGGAAAATAAATTTCTTCGTCCTAATAATATCCCAACCCAACCCCATTGTTTGCTCCTAAGCCGTACCCCCTCCATTATTGTCGGGGTGACCTTTAATAGCGGAGAAGTGGGTATAAATATTGTTTGTGTGGGGGGGGGGGGGGAAGCGTTGAAAGGAGAGAGGAGTTTGACAAAATTTAGGGGAGATGGGGCAAATATAGGGGGATGGGGGCAAATGTTGTGAGGGGAGGTTTGAACGGTAGGGCTGATTTGAATCGTTTTGAATTTTGAGAGCGAGTAGATTTTGACTTCGAGTTTGAATAGACCATACTGTCAGATCATGCCATACTCATGTAATAAAAACAGAAGCTTTGCACGACGCGAACAAAAAATGAAATGTAAGTTTCGAAGTTGAGAAAATAATGTAAAATAGTCGATTTATAATCCAGTTCGTTATCTGAAGACATAGGAATCAACTGCGTTGACAAAGTCTTAGACCGATCTCAATTCTATGTTTGCGGAATAGAAGCGATTCATGAGCAACCAGTTTGCGAGCGATTATCGATTTCTTACAGATAAAAGGGATTTTTTTTTCATTAAAAAATTGAATTTTAGTATCTAAATGATCAACTTTTATTGTACAAAACGTGCATTTAATCTGTATATAATCTGTAGATAATCTTTAGATAATCTGTAGATAATCTGTACAAACTGTAGATTTAGCAACAATTCCCCCTGATACAGGGGCGGATTTAGGGGGGGGGGGGGAAGGGGCGGACGCTCCTCTTTCAGGGATTCGACCTCTTGCCGACCCAAAGGGTCCCCCCTTTGGTACTTTTTAAATCCATATTTGGCCGACCTACCCTAAAATTTTTCTAAAGGCGCCAATATATACTAATTTTGAGGGGGCGCGCGCGCCAAAAAAAACGCCTTTTTTGTACTGTTTTTTCAAAATTTTGCCTGCGGCGCAGAAATTTTGGCTAAATCAGGGAACATACTGTGCTTAGGGAGAGCTCGAAAAATCAATTCGGTCGACCTAAAAAAAAAGGTCGACAAAATTTCGAAACAATTTTGAAAATCCGCCCACCCCCCCTCGAGAAAATCCTAGATCCGCCCCTGCCCTTATACGTCGAGGGGGCACGAGACATTAACTCTAACCCAGCGTAAAAAGTTTGAAGCTTAATGACCAGAATTACGGAGAGAATAACTGCGAACACAACTTGCTTCATGTGAGTATAAGTAACTTTCAAAATCAGATGCAAATTTTCAAAGACAATCAATTATTATCAAGACTTGGAGTTTTGAGTACATTTAAAATGATAAATGATACGAAATTAAATTAAGCCGAGTACAACGCATATATCTTCAATAATAATTGTTTAGGACGAGATTCCTCATTACATCACCTGTTTGACCTTCAACTTCGAGGGGGAGGTGATCTCGGGGGACTCCAGTGGAAACATCATCGTGTGGGGCAGAGACAAGCGAAACATCTTCTACGTGAAACACACCATCATCAGGGCCCACGAGAAAAGTGTCTTCTCTCTCGCCCACCTGCAAGATGGGACCCTTGTTTCAGGAGGGGGGTTGGACAGGAGGATAATTGCGTGGGACGGGGCCCAAGACTACAGATCTGCAAAAGCCGGAAGACAGGTCAGTTATTTCAGAAGTAATCATACAATTTCTTTAGTCAACCAAAGTTCAAAAGATCGGAGATTCGAGGCCCACCATGATCTGTGCTCGTTGATTGATGATGATTTCAAAGTACCACACGAAAAAAATAACCAAACAAATTGCAGTTAACTCTTAATCAAAGGCACATCAGTGGTTCTTCGAGGGGTAAACAATTCATATGTTGCTCCTTTTCCTCAAAAAAAGAGCCTAAAATTAATTACGCAATAATTTCCAAATTAAACAGTTGAATTACGCCGAAATTGAAAAAAAAAGAATTATCGGAAAGAAATGAGATCGACTAAAGTAAAAAAAGAAACGAAAGGAAAAGAGCTAAATTGTAAAAAAAGGTTTTCTGAAACACTAATCTGAAACACTAATCGATCTATTCTCATTATGATCTGTTCCTAATTATTGCGATGATATATATTACATAAATTTCTCCGAATATATGTCTAGCTCCGAATACCGAACAACGCTGAGAGACGCAAAAAGACCATTTATCTTTGACTCTTTCCCGTAATGAAGAGTTCGTGGTAATTTTGAGCATCCTTCATTAACGTACCAATTCATACATGGCGTCGTTCTTAAATTTTGGAAGGCACAAACCAATAAATCCAACTAAATTTCCTGAAAAAATAGTAGTTTGATGTGGAGCTATTGCAGTAGGCCTTAACAGTCCTGTTTAAGGATATTCCATTTGAGTTACTTCCCTCATTCCAGGCTGAGTTATTTAGTTGAGCTAAGCTCTTTTTTGCTACTCAAGGACATTTTTTATTGCGTCTAGAACTTTTCTCGTGGTGCCGCTATTGCAGCCGTAATCGGTCAGGCTGTGGTAGACCTGAAGCTAGAGGTCAAGTGAGAGCTCGTACCCACACACTGTCATTACCATGGAATGGGATGAGTGGAAGACATCACAAAAACGCTTTGATTTCGTGTGTTTTTCAGTTGCCAGAGGCGATCGGAGGAGTGCGGATGTTGGCCACTTCTGCCTCTGGGGGAGTGGATGGCCAGTTATTCGTGGGCACCACTAAGAACATCGTCATCGAGGGATCTTTGCAGCAGAAATTCACATCCATCATACAGGTAATAAAAAAGAACAAAAAAAAACAGAATTTAAGGAATGCGGAGCAATCAAAAGTTACAGCTCTTTCTGACAGTGTAAAAAATTGTTAAAAGGTCAAATAGATATCGTAAGCCCTAACAATTTTTTTTAAATTTCATTGAAGAATGTTACAAAGGTCACATATTTCAAATATAGACTGAAAATTATCTTGAAGTTTGATGCAAGGTATCAAAAAACTATATAAAACATAACCAGGGTGGATTAAGGGGAGCGGGGGCAGATGCCCCCCCCCCCAGGGATTCGACCCCCTGCCGTTCCAAAGGGTCGCCCGTTTGTACTATTTTGAGATATCCATTTTTGGCTGACAGCCCTTAGAAAAAATATACCAATGAGGGGGTAGTGCGCGCCTAAAAAACGCGATTTTTTGGTAAACATTTTCCAAAAAGTGCCTAAAAACGCATTTTTTGGCATGTTTTTTCAAAATAATTTGGTCGACCTAAAAAAAAGGTCGACAAAATTTTCGACCCGCTCAAGAAAACCCTAGATCCGCCCATGAACAGAACAGTTATTTTACGATAATAAAAAAAATTCAGGCGTCTTCTCATGAGATGGTAAAATTCTCGAGCTAGTGCTATGTTTATTTTTACATTACACTTACAATTTAATAGCAACAGCGACACTTTATCAACAAATAAAATAACTCAGAATTAAAATAGAAAAGAAGACGCCTGTATTTTACTCTCGAAGACAATTAACTTTTAGTTTATGCCATATATTGCCGTGTACTATGGCCAGAAAAGAGTGTTTTTTTTCTCTGTCCATAGGGCCACTACGAGGAAGTATGGGCCTTGGCTTGTCACCCCTCGGAGGAGTTCTTCGTCACAGGGGGCTTTGACCAGCAGATCTGCATGTGGAATGCTCTCTCCCACAAACTACAGTGGAAGGTCTTCACTGAGGTAAACATATTTAACTATGTTGGTATTCTTCAGACACCGAAACGCAGAAGCACTCAAGAAAAAAATACACAGAAACGACTAAGTATCTGATCAATTTTGAATCTGCGGTGCAGCAGTAGGTGTATGGAGAAGAGTTTGACCGCCTGCTCTTTATTTTCATCATTCAAAGAGTTTCACATGACCTAAATTTATCCTTTTTGACACTTTTTTATTACTAAACAATTACAAAAAAAATCTTAGGGCTTGAGGATTCTAATTTGATGTAACAGCGTACCAAAAAACTATGAAGGTTTCAAATGAAAACATTCCAAGTGGTTCCCACAAAGAAAAGTAGCAATGTTGTTGCCTGTTTTTTTATTCTGACATGTTCTGATATGGTAATACATAAATCCTACTTCTATGATACGATAATTTTTTTTGTTATGCGAGGTACGATTAAACAATAAACATATCCGTTTATTTCGTTTCAGAAGCCCTGCATGACCTGTGTTTTCCACCCATCCGGCACAGTGGTCGGGGTGGGCCAGTCATCCGGGAGGTTTGTGGTGCTGAACGCCTACAGTGGGATCCACGTGACCTCATTCCACGTGTCAACTGAACAAATAGACGTGGCCAAAATATCCCCGGACGGGGGACTTCTAGCCATTGGATGTCACGACAAAAACATCCATATTTTTGACGTACAGGACAACGGACTCTCTTTTAAACGAAGGGGATCAATGTCTGTAAGTATCTTCAATAAGTTCGATCCGAGAAAAAATCAAACTTAAAAAAGTCCCCCTTGTCGTTACTTCTAGATCCACGACCATTTTGCACTAAGTATCGAAAAGAAGTTTAAAATTTTGGATAAAGTGGTCCTGTTTGTGTAATAGTGTATATTAAAACGCACTGAGGTTCTTTCAACACAAAACTTATAGAAATTACTTTGAAATACCTGCTCGAATGTTAGCTAGCATACTTGTCAACGGGCTGCCGTCGTCGCGTTTACCTAACCGCGTTTTTAAAGGCTCAATAAGGCCTGTTGCTTTGAACTTATGAATCATATACAATGCTGATTTGTATAACTACATAATTTATTATACAGCATTTAAAATGTATACTTTAACCCTATTGGGTTATCTTGGAAAATTAAAAGCTTTGATGAATACTCAAAAACAAGGCAGATGCATGTGATAATTTCATTTGATTCCAGGGCCACAACAGTTTCGTGATGCAGATAGACTGGTCAGACGACAGCAACTTCATCCAGAGTGTCTCTGCCAACTACAACCTACTTTTCTGTCAGTCTCAATTCCATTCAGTTCTCTTACTCGTACTTTTGTAATCGCAACTTTCAAAAGTTCAACTTCGTTAGTAGCAAAGCTAGCACTGTCTTTTGCATGGCACATGTGTGCTAAAAACGAAGTTGATCGATTTTTACGGTTGCGATCCATCATTCAGACCCAAAATAATTCTGACATCTTTCCAGTGAAAAATTTTTGTTCTTTCTGACTAAGATCATTTACAAATTCATTGTACAAAACCATTTACAAATCCAGTAGCGGATTTAGGGGGGATTCGACCCACTTTCGACCCAAAGGGTCCCCCTTTGTACTATTTTGAGATATCAATTTTTGGGTGACTGACCTTGAAATTCTTCTTAAGGCGCCAGTCTATACTTTTGGCTCTTTTCCAGTCCCCCTTTCAAATTCAATTTTGAAAAGCTTATTTAACGTTGTCATAATGCAATGAAATTTGACGCTGTGAACACATCGACAACTGTGAACAGATTTGTTCTTCATACTTTGCAGCGTAACATAACGCATTTAGCCGTAATAACACGTAACACATGCATAAAACTCGGTAGTTTGAAAGGGGTGGGAAACTGGAAAAGAGCCCTAATTTTGAAGGGGGAGCGCTCGCCGAAAAAACGCGATACGATGTTTTGGTCGAAATTTTCCAAAAAACGCCTTTTTTGGCCTTTTTCAAAAGTTTCCCGGCGGCCCAGAGAATTTGGTCAAATTAGGGTCTTTATAGTGATTTGGGAGAGCTGAGAAAATCAATTTGGTCGACCTAAAAAAAGATGTCGACAAAACTTTCAAATTTTTTTCTAAAAATCCGCCCCCTCGAGAAATTCTTAGATCCGCGCCTGTACAAATCAATTGAGACAAATTGACAAAAAAACTGGAAATCAAAGTCAATTATCATACTCAAAACGACCAGTGCTGCTTAATTTAGCGAATATAGTAATTGCTAAACAAGAACTATTTAGTACACGTACAATTTGAACTTCAAAATTTCGAGTTACGTTGAAAAAATATGAGCGTTGTGTGTAACTAAGCCTGGATTTTAGGGGACGTTTTGAATCTGCGGCCAGAAAGCGGAAAAAAGACGAAAGACATGAAGTGGCACACACACTCCTCCGTTCTCGGATTCCACGTAGCAGGTACTCGCTTTTCGGAACTTGTTAACTCCCCCCTATTGCACCGAGTTATAGACTTTTACACCCCTCGACAAAGGGAATGGGGGGGGGGGGGATGGGGCAGCCATAGAGATTTAGTAACTCATCGAATTTACGGTTTCACCTGGCATGTACTCGGAGCATTCCGCAAACTTTGCATGACTTGCTTTGCGCAATCACTAAAATCGCTTTGGATAAAAAACAAATTAAAAAGGAAAAATATTTAAAAAAAGACGAATACACTATGCATATTAGCTTATAAGAAAAACAACTTAGTAAAACCTCGGAGACTACGGGATGCTTGAATAATAAAACTTTCCAAATGTGACTTTGCAGGTGTGTGGCCTGCGCTGCCTAAGGCGACCAATGCGAATACGTGTGCCGTCTCAGACTCCAGACAACTGGTGGTGTCAGGCGACAGCAGAGGATCAGTGCGCATGTTCCAGTTCCCCGCATCACACTACAAGGTCAGCATAATAGTTGTAATAATAAACACAGACGAATCAGAGCTTCTACACAAAATAGCAGACAAAAATTGAGACAAAAGTCGCTAGAGAAAACTTTTTTTGAAAACGTCAAGGATAAATATCATGATGAAGGAAAAATTTTAAATATTATATTAAATTTGAATAAATATTAAAATATCCCCTTAAAAGAGCAAAAGACTCACACACAAATCTTTTTCGATCATCCAACAATGCATCATCATGTCACTAAGTCGATTATTACAATAGGCCGAGAACTTTTGAGCCGACATAAAAAACAAACAAAAAAATTGAAACAAATATTGAATAGAACGGAACGGGTCTTTGAAATGCAGACACTCACAAAATATGTTTGTTGGTTGATGAAAGTGCAAGTTTGACAAATTGATTCAGTTAGGTTGTTGGACAAGATGCTTTACAAGACATATTCTTTACAAGAGAGGTTGTTTACAGGACAAAATATTTACAAGATTAAGTCTACGTTCCGATTAAATAAAGCTCGCTAATCGCGAGCGTAAATCTCAGCAAATTAACTGACGGAGCAGTAATTTCAAAAAAAATGTTGAAAATTTTTCAACATAGAGGCGAAGCGGAGCTTTGCTCCACTTGTGGTACAACACAAAAATGGCATGACAGCAAGCCCAAAAAACAGGGCGCAAGCTAAATCGAAAAATAAATGTTTAAAAAATCATTGAAAAATTAATTTTTTCAAACGTTTGTCTGGAATGTGAGTAAATAAGGGAAAAATACTTAGAAACACAACCGTCAGTGATAAATAACCACAAAAAAAAAGTCATTAAGTGAATATATAGCAGACAAAACTAAGGTAGACGACTGATGAGCCCAAAAAATTCCTAAGTCTTACGCCCCCTACACTTTTGGAAGCACAAAAGCAATTCAAAAACTTTGGTGCTTCAAACGGCAAATTATTTAGCATCTAAAGATATAATACATCAGCCAAAACAAATTAAGCCAAAAAACCCTAAAATGAAAAAAAACGAGCGGAAAAAGAAAAGTGACAACACGAGTTGAATTGCAACCAACAATAGAAATTCGAATGAAACAGTCATTTAAAATGCACACATGCTCAAAAAAATCTGTTGACAAATATTTTGTTCTGTTGCTGTCAGAACAGCCGTGCTAAATGATTCAACTGCTTTGGTTAAATTAGTTGTCAACCCAAAAAACGCCCGTTTGATAACGCTTGCTAGTCTAAAAATAAAACTAAAAATCCGCAACAAATTTTGTAACTAAATTAATTCTGCCAATGAGGCTTTAAAATGGCATTCAGAAGCTAAAAATAAAGCTGGATTTTCAAAAAGAAACCGTGCTACGGTGGTTAAGCTGACAATTTAAACAGATGGGGGATAGTCCGAGAAAGCAAAAAATTTCTCATGAAGCAAAGTGAAATACGTGTAATTTTTACATGAGAACTCTCGTGAAAAAAGTTGTTAACGGAGAAAAAACTAGTACCCGGCTGGAACACCTTTGCTTACTGCAAGGGTGAATGATAGTCATAAACATAGCCAACAGGCTGTAAACAGACCAGTTTTTTGAAAAAAGCTCTTGTTACGAACTTCTAAGAGAAAATAATTGGCATTAGCTTTTTGAACTTCAAGAAGAATATCAAGCACTTTTTGATAACATTAACTAAAGTTGAGAATAGGCTTTATTTTTTTCATTTCGCTGGGGAATCTAAAAATTGAATTCCTTTTTCGAAATTTTTTTGTGATCTGTACTTTTTTTGCTGATCGATACTGGATTTTGCCTTCCTTTTAACGAAAATGAGCTGAAATTAGAAAGAAATCATAAGTCAAACCGTGAAAATTTAAATTTGAGCCTGAACAAACTTTAAGTCTTTTCCTAAAAGAAATCATTACGACCTATCTGAGAGTCTGAACTACGTTCATGAACTCTCAATAAACACATGACTTTTAACTGTTTTCAAACGATACCTAGTTTCAGAATTATGAAAAAAAAATTCGAGAAAAAACATATCTGCAGCAACATTAGGCCAGCACAGCCAATTTTCAGTTGTCTGATTCACAGAGTACAGCTTTTGGGCAGCCAAACTGATATTCTTTGCTGTGAATCAAGGCCCAACTTTTGTGACCAAGCACTTCAATTTGGAAGACTTCCATTGAGCTCAAATGAAGGCGCGTCAAATATGAGGTTTAGAAGTCATAAAGCTCTCGTTCTCGCACAGATTTGTTCTTCCGATCTCAAAACGAACATGATCTTCCGATCTAAAAGTGAACGCAACGCCTCAATCTGAGGTTTTTCGTGAATTTTATCTGTTTCGATGTTGCTGCAACCTTTAAAAATGAAAGATAAACTTTTTTATTACGGAGTTGATTGTTTGGCCCTGACATTCTCGCCATTTTGAAAGCGGAAATGACGAGTTTTTTCGCGTCATTTCAGCTTTCAAAATTGGAGTGGGCATGTTGCCTACCTTATAGCAAATTAACTTGAATTGAACTGAAAAAGTGCATAACGATATGGGTATTTGGCATTAATTTTGGTTTTAAAAAAATCAATGCATTAAAATTTTAATTTTAGTATAAACACTATTCAACCTTTAAGAAATAGCACAATATTGTTTCTTGTCAAACCACAACTTTTAATTATTCATCTTTTCTCCAAAATCTGATTCAAGATGAGGTACAGGAACTTGCAGTTATATTAAAATTTTAATTTTAGTATAAACACTATTCAACCTTTAAGAAATAGCACAATATTGTTTCTTGTCAAACCACAACTTTTAATTATTCATCTTTTCTCCAAAATCTGATTCAAGATGAGGTACAGGAACTTGCAGTTATATTTTGACTTTTTCGGGATACTAAAATCATGGCGTGCAAACTTTGAAAATTCAGTCCAAATCACAAAGCCATTATTGGTCTTTCGCCTGAAGCGGATTTGAGTTTTGTCGAAAAAAAATTAAAAATCATTTTTCAGTGTTTCTTCACCGAGCAAAAGATGTGCAGTAGCAATGTGACTCAACTAGAGTTCCTACAAGCAGACAAGACACTCATCGCCACTGCTGGACCAGATGCTTGTTTGTTCCAATACCACCTGATCGATCCCTAACCACTCATCACTTCACTTGATTAAACAGTTTTTATCCCAATTTAAAACGCCTTGACCGTTATTCGTCAATTCAATTCTTTTGAAATATTATTTTTCTGTGAATTTAGAAAATTTTATTAACTAAGTTTCCTCAAGATTCCGAAGCAGCAAACGAGTTTGACTCCGCATTAAGTTTTCTTCGTTTCTTTGCTTTGTACTTCATATGTTTTGCGAAGAAGTCTTTCTTGTCCAGACTCATTTCACTTTTTCTCTTTCCAACGTTGACCTCCATCATAAGGGGCAAAATGTGTTCTTCCTCGTCTATTTCTATGACTTCCAACTGCTTCTTGATCCTCTCTTCAATCTTCGCCACTTTCTCGCGATCATTCGGTGTCACTGAAGTCAACGTTTAAATTATGATTTTGATGCTCTGTACCAGTCCCGTTAATTTTTGCAAAACTTTACTAGCAAATTAAATTATACTCGAACATTTTTTAAATTTACCCTTTTTAAATTATACTCAAACATTTCATTAGAACTAGAGAACAGTTATGAACATTTTTTAAAGAAAACTTATATATTAACTTCATGAGTATGGAAAACTGGAAAAGAGCCTTTTGTTCCCACTATTGAAAATGGGGATGAACTTTGGATTCGACTGTATTTTAGTTTTTTTGTTTTCCCTGCAATATCAGGTACAACAAAAAAGCATCAGATTAGGAAGAGTGATATATCATATAACCTAGGCAAAAGCGTTTTCCAAAAATAATTTCAAAATATTGTGAAAAAAAATTGAATTTTTTTTGTGAAAACTTTATTCATTTTCTGTTGGTTGGTCATTTTTTTAGTGAAATGATATCGATTATGAAATTCACTAACTCTCTATCTTTCTACACATTTGTACAGTTTCCTTATCACACCGCGTACAACAAGGACTTAAACTTTTCTCTGATAGCTAGAACACAAATTTTGATTCAGAAGAACAAAGCCGAATTAGAAAACCGCAAATGCGACACAAAAACATTCTAATGTTCAAGAAAACACCACTAGAAAAACAATTGCAACCAAAATTCTTTCAAAAGTTTTCCAAAGAAACAGCTACTTATTCTCAACACTTTCATTTAGATCTATTAGAAAAACTCAACTCGATCGAATCATTTCATCGAGCAGCAAATGAAATAGAAAAAAACAATTAAAAACTTTTTAAAAAAAAAATGCGATCAAAAGCAAGCAGTATTTCAAACAAGGATACCCAGTTGCTGCCGGATGAGCGAACTGAACTAACGCTTAGAAAGTTACCAAATTAGGCATACCCGACAACAGTTGTGAACAGAAGTGATGAGAGGATCTGAGCGAAAGCCTAAAAGTTAGACACTCTATAGAAATAGTAAAACATAGCCAACAGAGTTGGAGAAGAGTCAATCAACGCAAAACAGACAAAAACTGACTTGTTTTTTTTTTCAATGTCAACTTTCGATTTTCGAAGAATAAAAACAGATTCGCTTAAAGCTCACCGAATTTCAAGAAATTTAAGAATGATTTTTTTTTGCTAAAATCAAACCAATTTGAGAAAATTGGAGGGTTAGGTTAACTTTTTGTTGCGCTGGAAATCTAAAAACCAATTTCCACTTTCGAAAATAGAAATCAGTTACGTTTTTTTTCACGCCATTTCCTTTTTCGCAATTGGAGAGCTTTTTTCCCAAAATTTTAGCAAATGAAATTGAATTGAAATCAAAAAGAGTAAATATACCTAAAGGCATTCATAAATGCGCTAATATTTTGGTAGTTATTAGAGCAATTTAGAGCAGACTTTTTCTGAAAAAAATCATCACGGCCTTTATAAGAGTCTGAACTAAGTTCAATGAATATATGAATATATGTTTGGTGTATTTAAACATTTTCTTAAAAAATGGAAACAAACAACTGAATTTTTTTGACTTTTTCTGTAGAAGGCGCAAAAAAAATCGAAAACTATTTTTACTGGAGCTTAACTTGTTCGTAGGCTCACTTTGAGCCTGAACAAACCTATAGACCTTTCATGAAAAAAAATCATCGCGACCTTTAAAAGAGTCTTAACTAAATTCATCGCCTCTTCAAAAAATTAACCCATTTTGAGAAAACTGGATTATTAGGTGAAGTTTTTAATCAGCAGTGAAATCTGAAAACAAAATTCAACTTTCGAAACTAGAAATGAATTATGTTTTTCGTGACCTTCACACTCGTGCTGTGCAATGAACGGAATTTCCTGAAAAACGCGAAAATAATGGCCTATATAAGAGTTTGAACTATGTTAATCGTCTATATAAGAGTTTGAACTACATTTTGATTCGATTTTTAGTGAAAACTGTTGTCGAGCATGCCTATTTCAATACGTTTTTAAGCGTTTGTAAAGTTCTCTCATCACACCACTTAGAACAAACTACATTAATTTGGAAGAAAAAAAACTTTTTCGTCTGTGGTACCGGCACAGCAAACGGCTGTCCTTAATGCAAAAAAAACACGACTATAGAAAATGAGTAAAACATGCGACTCAGTTTGGGAAAATTGAGAGCGTAAACAGACAAGAATTTGCTTGAATAAAAACTTACCAAACGTAATGGCTTTGCCGGCTGCTCCAGCTCTTGCAGTTCGACCGACTCTGTGTATGTAAGTATCGGAATCCCAAGGAACGTTGAAATTTAGAACTAAATGCACATCAGGGATGTCAAGACCTCGACTGCCTACGTCTGTGGTGACCAAAACGCGAGCATGTTTTGATTTGAATTTAGAGATACTCAAGAGTCTCAACTTTTGTCGCATTGCCGAGTTCAAAGCTACGTTCGACACATTCACCTGATGCAAAAACTGACTCATAGCTTGACAGTGCTTGCATGACGAGGTGAAGACAATAACTTGCGCTTCTGGATTAATCTCCAGCTCGGATTTCACCATATGAACTAAATACGTGTCTTTTGCTGCTGGCGCAACAAAAATCATTTTTTGGTCTAATTCTTGAACTGTCGTTTCTGATTCGTCGTTGGACCATTGAAAAGGTTCATTTTTTGCAAGCTTTAGAACTTGTTGCAGAACTGATGTCAGTGTTGCACTATATAAAAGAGTTTGTCTCTTTTCAGGAGCATTTTCTATGATAGTTTTCATACAACTAGCCATTGAATCTTCAAACAGTCGGTCCGCTTCGTCAAAAACAAGATATTTAATTTTGCTTATGGAAACACTTTCATCATATTTGAGTAACTCGGCTAGCCTTCCTGGAGTGGCTACTACAATGTGAGGCTTAGCAGAAACTTCGCGACTTTGATCCGATCTGTCTAGACCGCCACACACTAAACTGACTCGTATATTAATGGGTTTGCCCAAAACTTTAGCTTGATCCACAATTTGACATGCCAATTCTCTGGTAGGAGAAATAACAACTGCAAAAACACCATAAGGGTCTCTGCTCAAGTGTGTTAATATTGGAATCAGAAAAGCTGCAGTTTTTCCACTCCCAGTTTTTGCACATCCCAAGACATCTCGACCTGAGAGAGTCGGCGGAATGCATGACTTCTGGACTTCAGTTGGATTTTGGAAACCAAGAGTAGCACATTGCTTAACTAGCCAATCGGGCAACCCAATATTTTGGAATCCTGACATTCAAAACTTCTAGAAAGAGAAACATAATTAAAATCGAACGCACGCGTAAACAAGAAAATCTCATCGTAATGTCTGGCGCATCCTATCTTTTTCAGCTCGAGTAAATTGATAACCAGAAAATCACCAACCTGTACACGAAGTAACTTCTTCACTATAGCAACCATAAACGACTGGAGCTCCTTTTAACCGAATCAAAATTTTCAAGCGTTCATATAATAATATTCATAAAAAATTGTTTCCAAGTGAAGTCATCACACGTCCAGAATTACAAATGAAGAATTTGTTTTTTTTTTCTACAAAAACATCACTTGAGAGAGCGCCGCCGTAAAACTAAATTAAGCCTGTTTTGGGGCGTCTCAGATCGAAAAACAAAGTTTTTTTTTGATATCCTTGAAGTTAGGAGGAAAGAAATCCTCGAGACGATAGCCCAGCTTGATAACAAAAAATATAAAAATTTTACCGTTTGATCGAAATTGCGGGTTTACCAGAATAATCATAATAATAATCATATAATAAAAAAATGTTGTCGATAAACAGTAAATGAGGCTTTTTGCTCCGCCTGCAGAAAAAAAGCAACAGTCCTCAAGTTAGTAACATGTTACTCTATGCGTTTTGTAGTTTAACTATAATAAATATGTATTTGCCTCCTTTACTGTTTATCGACAACATTTTTTTATTATATGATTATTATTATAAGGATTACTCTGGTTAACCCGCAATATCTATCAAACAGAAATTTTTTTACCCTTTTATGGAGGCGGAGCAAAACGCAGAATTGTAACAGTCGCCTACTTCGGTCACATATGAGGCTTAAGAAAAATAGGCCCTATAACCATTGGCTCAAGAGTCAGGGACACTATCTCTTGTGTTTTTCTACCTCAAAAACGGTCGGAGCCAATTCGGTTCGCTTGCGACATGAGACTAGAACCCGTTACAGCTTAAAGGCTACTACCAAAATATCACCCCACTCTAGAAAATAAGAACCTTCCCATACTTAGGTCTCGAGATACCCAAAATACATAAACGCCGTTAAAAACAGGATCGGAACAATCCGTTAAGTTATTTTTTATTAGACAGTGGAACTTTGATCCATTTCAGATGGATCAACCTAAAACTCGCCTTATCTCAACATAACAATCATAAAACACACTCGAGAAAATTAAATTTAGTACTTACATAGCAGCACGCTTGAGACACAGAGTAACTAAACTAACTAACGACTCTGGCATAAATATAATCAAATATAACTCAAGAAGTTTTCTAATGATGAGTCCCAATCAAGGGAAGTAAGTTTTAACTCCAGAATATAGTTTTGGCTCTGGACCATTGGGAGACTTCACTTGTCCACCTTTCCGGTGAAGGCTCACACTGTACCAGTTGATTTTAACTCCGGTCTCTTGTTCGTTTGGTCTCCTATATCAGATAGGACAGCTCTACTCTCGTTTTCTATGATGGAAATTGCGAATAGCGATTTCCCACTGTATATATTTGACGACTTTCCCGCAATTGTTAATTCGGTCGTTCTGATTTTTCATTTTATGTTTTCAGTTGTCGCGAGAAAACTGAGCATGACAGGCTCCATTCGAATTTTTGAAAAATAAAACTCCACTCCAAAATCACGTATATTCGTGTCCCTCAAGGTCAAACTTCCAGATATGACCGACTGGCACATAGTCCCCGGACTCAAGATCGATGTCCTCATCGCGTGCTGCCGTCTGTCAGTGAATACCCAGAAATCCGAGTGTTACTCAAGATACAGTGCCAGTGGTCATTTACAGAAGTTTGCAGCAGACTTAAGTTTATCTACACCCCAAAATTCACAACCATGTAAAATTTTCACACTATCGCTAAACAGCAATTAAAATCTGCACACACCTGCACCTGTGAATTCTCGCTTTTTAAGCTAGTAATTTAAAATTTCTTTTGCCCTATTCAATCAGGAAATTGTCATGCAGCATTTTGATTAATATAATAGATATAGCATATTAAAAACTATATCTCATTTGTTAAAATTTCTTTTTGGTTAACCCAGATTTCATCCGAGTTCACCCTCGAGCCCCCTCCCTCTCAAGACTCAAGACTCTAGAATTCCCTTTTGAGCCACCGGCTCACCTCGTGTTCTTCGTCTTCGAGGTACCAGACCCATATATTTGACACTGTGATCTGTTTCAATAGTGCCTCTTCATCATCGGAGCCGATCACAACCTCCTCCCAAGCCTTCAGCTGTTCATAGGATCGCATCCACTCCCTTTGCTCCTGCAAACTCTTCGCTTGATTGGGTAAACTCTTCACCTTCGACTCTCGGTTCAAACAGAAGGAATTGTGAAGACTCAGGCTTACATTTTTCGCCAGGTCTTCCTCTAGTATCGACTCCCTCGCTCTGGTGTTGTTTCTGGATACTCTACCAACTCTTTTCCATCCCGTCGTGATCGCATTTCGATGGGTCAGCAGAGGTCTCTTGAAGGCCTCCGGTCCTATCTCGGCCTGGAACTTTCGATATTCCTTTTGATATTTCCTCATATGGTCCTTCGTTACCATGTATAACCAGGACGTTAACGTCGCTCGAAACCAAGGAAAGAACCTTAAGCGGCTCCATACGTGTCTGACTTCCATTGGTATGGCTAACATCTTGCATGCGGTCTCAAACAACTCAAACCTCCTGCTGTAATCTATCGCGTAAATCGACTCTGCCGTTGGCGTCTTCGATTCCCGATACTTTGCTACATTTTCTTCAATCCATCGTAGGGCCAGCATCGTGCTCACCATCAAAATGGTCACCTTTTGCTGATGATTGGGAAGTCCCAACGACCTGATATCCTCCACATCCCAGATCAGGCAGAGATTCGCGTGGTCCGGGTACCACACTGTTTGCGCCAGACAGTGGCATGGACAATCGCCATGTGTGAGGTCGATGCTCCTAAGATTGCGTTCTCCCGAGGCTTCTAGGAGAGGCTCAAGTTCCATCATTTTCTCGTGTATCGCGTCGATCTCTTCCAGGTTTGGAGCACCAACCATAGGTTTCCCGATCACGTTTTGTCTCTCGTGGTCACTTGTGTTTTCACCTTCCAAACCCAGAAGTTCTTCCCCCCAGATTTCACTCAAGTTGTCCCTCTGTTCTTTCGGCACTGTCCCTCGGATTTTCCTCAACAGCTTGTGTGAGTGATGCGACATCCGAGCCAGTCTTACGCATTTGGGCACTGAGAAGGCTTTGTCTATCAATACCCTTTGGCTGGATACTTCCACCATCGCCATGTGTAATGGATAGTGGCTGCCACATAGGTTGGCAATCACTGACCCCACTAAGGACTTCGCATTCAGAGGCAGACCATAGGCTTCGCTCATGGGAAATCCCATTTCCGCTTCAAGTCCAACCTTCCAGTTCTTGATGTGTTTCTGGGTCACTTGCAACACCCCGGGCCATGACTCCACGCTCAACGCGGTCACCAAGTGGTGTTCTGACTCTAGCCTCTCCAGTGACTGGAGACTGCACATTCTTGAGAAGAATCCCAGAGCTTTTGCTAGGTTCACAGTGGTACTCGCGTAACACTCAGCCACTATCTGTATTTCACTCTTCTCCCTTTCGGTAATGTCTTCAAACCAGGTGACTAGGTCTTCTTTCTGGAAGGACTGTATCCTGACGCATGACCGTCCATTGCAGGTGTGCTCGCCATTTCCACACGTCGAATCAAGACAACTGCCCGGCTCCATTTTCTTCACCGACCCTTTTCTACTCGTCACTTCACTTGACTCCTTCACCTGAGGCAGGATCAGTCTATGCACTATACTCAATGTCGCCAGATCTTTATCCTCTGCTGGTGCTAGTCTCACTCGCTTCCTCAATCAGGCTCGCATGGGGATGTGGAAACCAGGAGGGCCTCAACAACTTCCACACCACTCCCAGATTCGTGACCAACATGCCATCCCCGTTACCCATCTTCAGTTCGACTCTTTTACTTGAGCGGGGCACACTTATTACTTCTGGTGTCTTCTCGAGAATCAAACCTAAGCTAGGTCTCTCTCTCTCTACAGTGTCTATCTCCACTGTCTTCTCTGTCTAGAACTTCAGCAGCTCCGCCACCTCGTAGTTTCTGTGAGCGCATCCGGCTTCCGAGTCCAGGAAAGGGTTGTATGCCATCCCCATCACTCCAGACACATACTGGTACTCTCCCTTTTTGTTGGGTTTCAAGTACTCTCCTGGCGAGGCCAAGTTACGGTGTACGTCGTGTTTCTCCTCGAACTTCTTGTTGTAGAATCTCCGTATATCATTTAACTTCCTGTGGCTCTCTAGAGACTGCCTGGAACCACCCTCTTTTTCTATCCCAGTACTCTGGTATACGTTCAAGATGACTGCTGAGACTCTCCTTTCCACCGTCTTGCTTCCGAATGCTCTTTGGTGACATGCTAGGATGGTACTATCAGTCATCATCGACATTATCCACCTCAAGAAACAAGTAACATCTTTCCTCCTTGCCAGACTCAAGCCTGAGTTATCCCTAGCAACATGTTGCATCAGCACTCGATACAACTCTAGATTCTTGCCTCCCAATTTCAACTTATCAGACGATGTCAGTGTCTCTAGCTCTATTCCCACCAGACTCCACGCAAACATCAGTTGTCCTGCGGTTCTAATGAAGGGATTCGCCATCAACGGCGATGCCGATGAGGATGTTCTCATCGCTTCTTCAAAATGATCCCTCAACAAGTTCTGCCAAGTTCTCTTCAGTTGGCTCCCCAATTCCAATTTGTTGATATCAGCCCTCTGCTGGGTAGCCCAGTTGCGACGTTTGCGTGACACTCGACTGTCGAGCTTCTTTAGGCAGTCTTCCAATTCCTTCAAGGTTTCCAGGGCCACCCACCACGGTCGGGAGGTGTTCCTCGTTTTATTCTTCTCAAGAGGATCGCTAGTCACTTGCTTCCCAGTGGCCTGATGTTCATTTGAGACCCATTCTTTGCCGACGTCCACCTCCCATGTCTGCCGCTCGTCGAACCTCGTTTCATTTTTGTCT